ATTTCCAAGTATCGTGGAAATGGATAGAATTTGATAAGACTCCGTCTTGCAGGTTATTGCTGTTGCCAAGTCTTCAGATATTGTTTTGATGGTCCTTGATGCCTCAAAAGTAAGTATTTATTCTGTAGTAACATGCTGTTGTTACTACTGGTATATCAATAGCTGATAAATAAGTTTACTACTCTTCTGCTTACTGACCTTTCATTGTTTTCATTCTTAGCAACCTGCTCGACCTCTTGACCCTGTCCTGTTGATGCATTATGTTGATTACCTGTTTTGCTTGGTTTCTGTCAGTTATTTAGTATAACGCTTGCGTTTTGATGTTTCAGAGTGAAGGTCATCGGCAAATATTGACAAAGGAGCTGGAAGCTGTGGGCCTACGTTTAAACAAGAAGCCGCCTCAAGTAAGTTTTATCTTCTTAATATTTATTAGCATTTTTGATAACAGACTGAACATGGTCTTAGTTTCTGTCGGGTTTTAAGCTGTTTCCATATATTGTTTGTTATGTTTGCTTTGTTAACTGTGGACTTAAGCTGGATTTTGCATTTTGTTCCATGGGCAGATATACTTCAAAAAGAAAAAGACTGGAGGAATTTCTTTCAACAGCACTTGCACTTTGACTCATGTGGATGAGAAGCTTTGTTATCAAATTCTACACGAATACAAAATTCACAATGCTGAGGTACTTAGGATTAGTCAAGATTGTCCTTTATCAAAGCTAATGGTGATTCTTTTATTGGGCATACACAACTAATGGTACATGATTTTCTTCAAGTCACTGTACAATCTTTCATTTGGGTGATACTTTCTTTTCTGTGCTCATCCCATGGAAAAGAATACTCATGTATGATAAATTTAATGCAGTTGCTGTTTCGCGAGGACGCGACAGTGGATGATCTTATTGATGTGATTGAGGGAAACCGGAAATACATGAAGTGTGTATATGTGTACAACAAGATAGACGTTATTGGTATTGATGATGTGGACAAATTAGCCCGTCAGCCGAATTCTGTTGTTAGTTGCAATCTCAAGGCAAGTTCTACACTTCTTGTTTTTATTCAAATGAGATACGGAGTACATCTGTGTTACCAGTAAGAAACCTTGAGCAATCTCTGCAGTTGCAAAATTGAAAAACTTTTGGTCAGAGCACAGAAGACATTGCCTACTGTGGTTCTTTCCATTAGAATTGTGTTTTTGTTGGACCCTAATTTTCAACATGTGTAAACATTACATTACAATTGATTTAGAGGCTGTTTGATAACCATTCCGTTTTCAGTTCAGAAAACTGAAATCTTGTTTGGAAAGTTTTCAGTTAAAAAAAATAAAATAAAGCTGAAAACCAAAAATTAAAAATGAAATGGCTTTCAAACGGTTCAGGAAAATTAACTTTGCGTATTAAACGGTTCAGGAAACTTAACTCTGTGTTTTTATCTTGCTCACAGCTGAACTTTGACAGACTGCTTGCAAAAATGTGGGAAGAGATGGGACTTGTTAGAGTTTATACAAAGCCGCAGGGCCAGCAACCTGATTTCGGTGATCCAGTAGTTCTTTCTGCTGTAAGTTGCAAATATTTTTGTTGTGTGTGTCTTTATAGGATCAATTAGCTCTCCATCATATGAGCTTTCTGGCTTGCTTTGTTTTCTCTTATTCCTCTTTGCATGTGTGTGTAGGATAGAGGGGGCTGCACTGTTGGAGACTTCTGTAATCATATACACAGGAGTTTGGTGAAGGAAGTAAAATACGTGTTAGTGTGGGGTACAAGTGCAAGGCATTACCCACAGCATTGTGGCCTCGGTAATGTTTTGAATGATGAAGACGTGGTCCAAATTGTGAAGAAAAAGGTAAACCGGTCTTTCTGTTGTTCATTGCAAGTAAAACTTTCTTATAGATACATACAATATCGCATTGATTTTTCTGCATAATTTGTGTCCCATGATTATTCTGATTCCGGATGCTTGTTGGGTCTTACTGTTTTCTGTTCTCTTTGCAACCGGATGAGGAAAAATATTCTTTCGAAAACAATCTAATATTTGGCATTTGGATTCTCCAGGACAAGGAAGGGGAAGGGAGGGGTCGGTTTAAATCACATTCAACGGACCCTGCTCGTATATCTGACAGAGTGAAGAAGGCCCCCCTGAAGCAGTAGTATCATTGATAGGCAATCCATGCAAACCCGAGTTTCTTACATGAACCGCCACAGAAGAATTATCCGCGGATGAGATGTATTTGAGATGCCTACGGAGCACGACATAGTCAAATCATTTGATTAATTCTGAAGTGAAGAATTGGTGCTAGAATGTCGTGTTTATGGGAGTAGGTAGATTTTTTGGTCCTTGTGTTGTAAGTTTAGATTAATTACTTCATGGAATGTTGAACATGTACTGCACCATGATCTCTGTTTTGGAGATGGTGTTTAATACACTTCGAAAACGCTCTTCAGCTTTATCTTGCTGGCGTGCCAAGCATAGATTCCGACCTATCCAGCTAAAGTCGGATGCACACATTTGTAGAAAGATAGCAATATTTTTCGACGAGAAAATTTACAGTGACATGAGAGTGAGGGTGTACCCCGGTTATACAGTAGAATCTCTCCAGCTACACCCAGGAGATTTTACCATGCCTCTTTGATTCATCATCATTCTCACTCTCTCAGCATCATCCCATTTATTTGTTTCTGCGTAAGTATTTGCCAAAAGCACGTAATTTCCTGCATCGCGCGGTTCTATTTCGAAGAGTTGCCTGGCTGCCATCTCGCTCAACTCAGCATTGCCATGAACCTTGCAAGCTCCTAACAAGGAGCCCCAAATCTTTGCATCGGCAACACCGACATTGTCTATTATAAGATTGTATGCCTTTTCAAGCATCCCAGCCCTTCCAAGAAGATCAACCATGCAAGCATAGTGCTCCTTTTGTGGCTCAATGCCGAAAACCTGAGTCATGAGCTCAAAATACCGGCACCCTTTCTCAACCAGTCCGGCATGGCTACATGCGTTGAGGAGACCGACGAATGTAACCTCGTTCGGTCTAACTCCTTCCTTTTGCATCTTCGAGAAAAGATCCAATGCATCCTCGGCCTTTCCATGGTCAGCAAGGGCAGTGACCAACGCACTATAGGATATGACATCTCTCATGCTCATTCTGTTGAACTCTCTCCATGCCTGGTCTATGTTTCCGCATTTGGAATGCATATGGATCAATGCATTGGATACAAAGATTGTCTTCTCTGAAAGTGTTTGGTAAAGGAGGGCACATCAGCACTACAGAATGTAAGCAATACAAAAGATAGCAAATCGTAGGCCTGTTCGGTGTTTAGATTGAATTGGACAACTCACTAGATCAATGTATGTTGAACGTAGACTTCTCAATTTCGTCTAAGTTGAAGGTTGAACATGTCTTTAGCTATGAAGGAAACTTATCACTTGCCCATCCTACCATTTTTTTGGAGATTAAAACGAATACGTTGACACCCATTTCTTCTTCACCCTAGACAAAATTTGGAAGTTGATACCCATTTCTTCTTTCAACATATACATTGAATCTAATGAGTTAGTCAATCCAATCGAATCCTTGACACCAAACGATTTAAAGAACTGATTAAATTAGAACTTACCACAAAACCCTTCCTCCACATGCTTTGCCAATGCGGCTGCAATTTTAACATCCCCAAGTTGTGTACAAGCTGAAATAGCTCCCACCATTGCCACCTCACTGACTCTTACTTTTGCTTCCCTCATTTTCTTATACATCTCAATGGCTTCTGCTGCATAACCATTCTGAGCATAACAAGCCACCATTGCTGCCCAACATGATGCATCCGGCATCTGTATCTCGTCAAAAACCATCTCAGCCTCCACTACATTACCACGCTTCCCATATCCCGCTATCATAGCCACCCACACCACTGGATTTTTCTCCACCATTCTTTCGTACAATTCCTTTGCCCTTTCCATATCACCAATGTTCGCGTACCCAGCAACCATGGTAGCCCAAGAAACCGCATTGCACTGCCCCATGTATCAAACAACCACCGCGCTTCACACATCAATCCCATCTTCGAATACCCACAAATCATGGCCGTCCAAGCAACCAAATCCTTATCTTCCATCGAATCAAAAACATCCCTCGCGTCCCTTACAAGCCCACATTTTGCATACATATGAAGAAGCGCAGTTTGCACTATCCCGTTTCCCAAGAAACCACACTGCAGAAGCCTCGCGTGGACTTGTTTCCCTTCGAAAACCGCCTGGACACGACCACAGGCATTGAGAACGGAAGAGAAGGTGAACCCAGATGGTGATACGCCAACCCGGTGCATTTGAGCATATAGAGCGATGGATTGACGAAAGCGATCGTGAAGCACATTGGAGTGGATGAGGGAGGTCCAGAGGAACTGAATTCTGCAGTTGGGTATTTCGTCGAACAGGTTGTGGGCATACCGGAGGTTGTCACCAGGGAGTTGCAGGAGCCGCTGGAGCAACTGAGCCAAGAGATGGTAACGGCGGTTGGGTTCAGTTGGGGCTTTGAGTAAGAGAATGTGGCTTTATTTTAGCTGCTTTACGGTATTGCTTACATAAAGGAATGAATTTCGAGAGGGAATGAATTTCGAAGTCATGCTGCTGATTTGAACATTACTGGTGGCATTCGATTGTCATCTGCCGAACCCCTTTGTTTATGTATTTAATCCAACGCAATCCATTTGTCATCAGTTGACATGAAAACGGTGGCAAACAAATTGGTGCCTCTGTCATTATCCTACCTGTTCGGTTCTCTTTCTCATTTTATAATTTATCTGTTGTAATTTGCACTATCTGTTTTTAGAACGCTGCAAAAAATAATCAATTCTAACATCGTTTTATTTATTTAAGGAATATCCAACAAATATACGAACTATATTATTCATTAAATGCTGAAATTTTGACAACGTTAATCGAACGGTTAAACGACTTCTAATTTAATTGATTATTGCGTAGTTGATCTTTAAATGGTGAACTAGATAGTATACGGTTTTAATCATTATGTAATATTGCAGGATGAAAAAGAGAACTGAGAATGTAGAACAAGAAGGTCCAACCGAGAATGTGTTACAAATCGGTGGTCGTGTAATATCTTCCAACGATTTACTACAGAAAACATAACCACATGTTACCAAGTGTTTATATCCTTCAAGGCTTCAAGGACTTAGTTCATGCGCACATCGATCAACTTGGAGATGTCTTCCCACTTTTGTTCATCAAGTTGGAGGCTCTTTCTGCATTATTTACACACAACGTCAACATAAATATCTATCAGAAAAAGATGAAAATAACATACCGCAGATTTAACTGCAAAAACTCTACCTACCTTTGGAGCTGAATTTTAGAGTAATCAATCTCGGCGATTACAATAGTTTCCTCATGCCCTGCGGTTGCAATTATCTCGCCCGACTGCCAATTACAGCACAAAACACAAAAATGAAGAAAACGATCGTTTGTGTTTTTGTTCATTCATGCTCATCAATTGTTTGCGTTATACACTATATAGTACCGGTTCAACTAGCGTGGAGTGTCCCCATATTGTGTAAGAACCAGTGGAGTCTCGAGAAGGTGAACAAGTAGCTACGAATAACTAACACCGTGATTCCGAAGCCAAAGAGGGCAGGGGGAGGGGAAAGGTCATGTTAGAATTGTTTTTAGCTGTAGAACAGTAGAAAAATGTACAGATACAAAGTCGAAAGCAACAGGACAAGTCAGTCTTTATACGTACCTGGTTATCAACTGCCCTGAAAAGAGGGAAGTATCTGTTAGAACATAGGAAGTTTAGGAGGAAAATGGTGAGCAAGTGGAAAATAAGGTATATACTCTTACCTTGCTCTCTGTACGAGCTCCCACAACAATTCACCAGTGCTCATGTTGAATGCCCCGGGATAGCATATTATGTGAACGCCTTGCGTTTATACAGTAACGATCAAATATTGTTATTTGAAATTTATAGATAAGATATTAAAAACTAAGCCCGCATTTACAAAACCCTGTACCTTTTTTCCTGTACAATGCAGCAAGTTCAGGAAACTGTAAATCATGACAGATTCCCACTCCGATACGACCAACTTCTGCAAATGTTCTACAATTGCTCAACAGCGGCTTAACTCATAGACAATCCGGATAAAATCTTGAAATAAAAAATTTGACATCACACATTTCCTCGAGGAAAGTTTAGGACAGTTTCGGATGCATACCTGTGTCCACTATGGTAGTTTGATCTCCTGCCAAAAAGAAGTCAGATTCCTTAAATGATATCTCTCCTGGAACGTCAATGTCGAATAAATGTATCTGCAAATGAAGCAACACCAACACCTTCTTTTCAAGAGTTCTATCCAATTTTACGCTCCTAATTCCGTGTCTAATGTTATCGAATTAACATGTTCTTACTTTCCTATGCTTAGCTTTGAGCTTTCCATCTGGTCCAAATATGCAGCAAGTATTATACAACCTGCCATGATCCCGTTCAGGCACCGACCCTCCTACGATTGTGATCCCATGGCAATAAGCAGCATCCGATAGCATGGACAACGTCGGCGAGGCATCCTCATTCGTAAAATCCTCAGCAAATTTTGCAAAGTAGTCACTTGAATAAGGGCAGTTCCACATTTCCTTTGACAAAAATGCAATTCAAACCAAATGGATTATGTCCTGAGGACTTCTCACAGACATTTATACAAACAACTTGGCTGCAACCACATGAGCAGTTACTAGGTAGTTAACTCACTGGTAAAACAAGTAGCTTTGCGCCTTGCTCGGCGGCAGTTTTTATCGAAATGCCGGCACGATCAAGATTCTGATTCTTGTCAGAAGTAACTGACAACTGACATAGAGCAACCTTAAACTGTTCCATAGCAAAAACTGTTTTCAGTTATATCACACCTTTGTAATACCTATGCATAATCGCCAAAAGAACAATTTTTGTGAAAAGTATGCAGTTCTCCTTTTATATAATCGATATTCTACGTTAAACTCATCTAAACTATGAGAACGGGAACTGGAACTCAGGTAGTTAGGTGCAGAGGGGAGAGCACAATATTGTAACCAACTTGATTAAGTTCAGATATTCGCAAGAATTCTAGTAATTTTTTCAGACTCGAGAAATGATCAAGAACACAAAAGAAGGTTGGAAACTTTAGTGTTCAAATATTTATTGGGAATAATTGATACAATAACTTGTGCTGAAAACAAAACTACCTTCGGAATTGGGGAGTTGAAATGGATCTGAGGCATCAGCCATGGCGGGATTACTGGTGTTCCAGAGAGATGCCATAACAAATCGGAGTTTTTTAGGTCTTGATTAAATTAGGAAGCAAAAGGGAACGCCTTTCTATATGTTTGACTTGTTTATTGTCACCCTCTTTGAAACTTTGTGCAACCAATTTTTCTAACTTATCTCATAATTTTGGATAACATTATTCAACAACCAAACCTGCCTCAACACATTCAGACAAAGGAATGAAAGCGATTTGTAGTTAAATTGATTAAGAGTAGTTATGCCTATTCATAATGTTCAAGTTTGATTTTTTTTTTATTATTTTACAATGTTGCATGTATAAATAAAAATAACATGCATGCAGAATTCAGAAGACAAGCACCAAGCAATAATTTCACAAAGAAAAACAAAAAATCACAAGCTGCCCAATTTTAGTATGATCGACTCCATGGAAAGTAAAACCCAAGGCAGCTGCCAAAATGCTAGTGACAACATCTTATTGACCACATCTTCCAAAATGCAGCTGCCAATATGCTAGAGTTAATCCTATCGAACTCAAAAGTCAAATATAAAACGTCCTACTTACATCTTACTATTTTACCACCTCACATTCAGTGGCGAAGCCACCTTTAGACTAGGATAGGCTTGGGCCTATCCTCAAATTATTTTTTCCTAACAACCTCTACTATCATTAATTAATTTTATAATACCACTATCAACTTGAATTTGTAATTGTAGTGGTTGGTCCAATTAGCTTCAATCCAACAAATAGAAACTATACTAATATTAGTTGATCATATTCTCTATTTCTTGCCTATGTACAATTTTTCCCTTTGCTTGCAGACTATTATTATGGTTAATTTCTCATTTCCCTCTATTAGATTGTCTATGAAATCATATTTTTCCAAATTAGCACAAAAAACCCTTCATATGCTCTCATACCTTCATGTTTTTAGAAAAATGTTCTCTTGGTCACTATAAAAAAATGAATGCATGGTCAGTCACATTTGAATTTGATATCAAGAATGAAGAATAAATGGATGTGCATGTAATAATGTTTTATTTTCAACTTTTGATGTAGTTGACCATTTATAATGAAGAATAAATGCATGGTCACTCACTTTTAAATTTGATACCAAGGTGACCCAAAGAACGAGATAATTTCTGCATATATTATGTCCATTTTAGTTTAAAGTGTGCGCTTCCTAACATGAATTTCTGGCTCTGCCACTGCTCACATTCTTGTCCATACTGTTTCTCTCTCATTTTCATGGAAAATAGAAAACAAAGAGGAGGTTTGAAGATTCTCTTTTTTATTTTTGAACAAATTGAAGATTCTCTTTTTATTTAAATATTTGTTCACCAAAAAGAAGATTTCTTTTTCCTTAAAAAAAAAAAAATTCTTGCCAAGAGTTAACCTACAAAAACAGTAGGTGGAGAAGCATCATAGTAAACCTCAATCTGTCACATTCACATCACCCTTGATGCTAAGCCGGCATAGACAATATATAGACCAATTAAGTTCTTCCTATCACTACTATCTGTCTTTGTTCTTATCGGATCATATTATTTAATAATTCAACATCCTTGAACACTTTTGGATTACTTATTTTCTTTGTGAATCTTTAAAGCAGGGCCTCCTAATTAAGATTCCCAAAGACTTGTAATATTCCCGTATCAACAACAAACTAAACCTAGCCTAAACCTAAACCCATGTTAGTCGTATCAGGCATCGTAGTATTTGGTGTGCTCATCATTTCCGTCGTAATCGGATGGTATGTATATCGTAGGCGAATACCATTGTCTCCTCCGACTAGCAACGAGCGTGTCCAGAAGATCGAACGCACGGTTGATAAGAGGTTGAAGCCGGATTTAATCACATTCAGTTACAAGAAAGAGAGTGATGATGGTGATCCTGATCAAAACGAAGATGATGAAGAAGCTTTATATCGTAAAATTAGTACTACCATCGAATGTGTAGTGTGCTTGAGAGGTTTGGAAGATGAGGAAACTGTGAGGCGGCTACCAAAATGCAAGCACATCTTCCACGCACCTTGTATTGACATGTGGCTTGATTCTCATTCCGGCTGCCCTATCTGCCGTACTCTGATTGACCGACTATGTTCTGGTGATAACCCGCTGGCATTTACACCTCACGAGGATCAAGAGAATTCCATGGAAGTCACACCCACAGAAGTAGATAATATCAGAACCTCAATGTTATCTATCCCAATCGTGTAAGATCATATAATGTCCTCTGTTGTCTTCTTCTTTGGTTAATTTCTCTCTTTTATAAATCTTGTTGGTTGCAAGACAAAAGCTCCTGCGAGAGTTGTTCGGTTGAATGTTTCCTAAGTCCCACTGGAGGCCACAGAGAGGCCAAGGCTCCTCAGATGAGTTGTATGTGTGATAGGCATGCCACTGTTGGCAGTTAGTTATTAGTATTAGAAACTTACACTGCAAGTAAAAGGATTTCTAATCAAGGGATAATATCATGATCAGTGGGGTTCTGGCTCGTTCTTGATCATTTTATGTGCTTGCTTGTTAAGGACTTCCGACATTTTCTTCGTGTATTAGATAACAACCATAAACTGATTAGAACTTATATCTTATTTAGTTTACTGTTCTTGTACAAGCTTTGGTTTTTTGAAATAAACGTTAAACTTGCAAGAGGATAAACAATTGAAAGAGAATAATAGGCATTTTGATAACGCAACTACTCCGACTATGACTTCCAATTTAATTAGCAAGAGGAAATACAGAAGACAAGAACAATTTATCTTACTTGTAGTATGTAGTACAATTTAGGTGTTAAGGGTAGGCTAAGTTTCTGTTTTGTGCAATATTAGACTCAATTTTTCCCTAACATGCTTATTCTAACATAATTTTTTTTTTCATCTTTTAAAACTTAGGGTGTTTTTCTTCTTTTTATCCTTCATGCTGCTGCAAGATGGGGAGAAGGTGAACAATCAGTCGGAGCTCTGATTGCTTACCTTGTCTGTCACCTCTTTCAGCAGACCCCCTAGCTCGGCGACTTGGGAGACTCCTACTACATGGTTTGTATCGCGCTTGACCAAGCCTGAGACTACAAGTAAGCTTCAAGTGAAATTGATACATTACCTTGTGCATCTCCACCAGTTAAAGATACCACCCCTGGATGGAGGAAGAGTACTTCTAGAGAAGATGCCACATCTACCTATGAGACAGATAAGGCAAGTCAAGACGACACCACACTCCGATACTTAGAAGTTTCGTGATTACAAGATCATTCTCCCACAATATTTCCTAATGTCATTTGTACTAAATCATTCACTTGTACTCACTAAAGGAAAGCTTGAACCTATGTACTTGTGTAAACCCTTCACAATTAATGAGAACTCTTCTATTCCGTGGACGTAGCCAATCTGGGTGAACCACGTACATCTTGTGTTTGCTTTCCTATCTCTATCCATTTATATACTTATCCACACTAATGACAGGAGCAATCTAGCGAAGATCACAAAAAGCGACCGTTTTCGCTACCTAGGATCTATCTTGCAAGAGAACGGAGAATTAGATGGAGATCTCAACCATAGAATACGAGCTGGATGGATGAAGTGTAAGAGTGCATCCGGCGTGTTGTGTGACCGTCGTAGGCCACTGAAGCTCAAGGGAAAATTTTATAGGACGGCAATAAGGCCAGCGATGTTGTATGACACAGAATGTTGGGCGGTGAAGCATCAACACGTACACAAAATGGGTGTAGCGGAGATGAGGATGCTTCGTGGGATGTGTGGGCACACGAGAAAGGATAAGATTGGGAATGAGGATATCCGAGGTAAAGTAGGAGTAGCCGAAATTGTAGGAAAGATGAGAGAAAATCGGCTCCGATGATTTGGACATGTGCAAAGAAGGCCGACTGACGCTCCGGTTCGAAGATGTGACTACGGGACAGAGGTTCAGGGCCAAAGGGGTAGAGGAAGACCTAGGAAAACTTTGGAAGAGACTCTAAGAAAAGACTTAGAGTACTTGGATCTAACGGAGGACATGACACAAAACCGAGCGCAATGGCGTTCTAGGATTCATATAGCCGACCCCACTTAGTGGGAAAAGGCTTTGTTGTTGTTGTTGTTGTTGTTGTTAAAACTTAGGGTGTGCTAGAGCCCAGGACAGCCGTTAGCTGGCTCCGCCCTGGATTGATGTAGACAAAGCACAAAAATGCAAAAGTGGGGCATTGCCCTGTACATAGACAATTTCTCTTTAACCTACTATGTTATGGTTCAAACCCTCTTAAATAGTTTAGAATATTAATATTGTTTGTAATAACATATGGTGAAATATCGACCTAAGATATTGTAATTAATTAGTCTTAAACTATAGGGGGCTAATTATGCATGCAAACAAGTGATGAATTGTCATGATAGCAAGAGTCTTCATTTCCAGCTCACTACGTCCAAGTTCAAACTCTCCCATTCTTCCTAATATATAAATTGCAGTTAGTAATATCAACCATATTAAAAATAAAATGAAAATTACTAAATGCACTAGCGTTTCTAACATTCATATATATACTTGCTGCAGTTTGGAGATTCTTTTTCTAAATAAGTTTGGCTGAGAAGCCACAAAATATGAGAATAATGTTGTAAATATTATTTATTATGTGGTTGTTCACTTCTGAATCATTATTTAATATATAGTTAGTGTTGCAGTCATATTTAGAATAGGAATATGATTGTATAAATCTTAGTGTATCTCGGGATATCTTTGAATATTACCTTTAGTAGTTAATATCCTATTAGAGTTGTAATCCTAAAAGGGTAAGGATTTAACCTATCCTACTACTATAAATAAAGGCACAATTGGGTGATACAACACACACCTGACAATTAAATCTTTCTCCCCCACTCTATTCCCTTAGAATATCTTAGTTAAATAGGCCTACAGCCCCAACCCACCTACTAGACCTCTTTGGCTTGGGCTTGGTTCGGATTGGGCCTGCAGCCCCAACCCACCTACCAGAGATTGGGAATGACAAGGCGCGGTGGTGATATGATGGTCTAGCTCGCCAGAGTAATCGAGTGGTGGTGCTGTGTGGTTTCCGGAGAGGGAGAAAGTGTTAGAGCGAAGAAAGATGAGGGAGGAAACAGAGAAGAGAGAGGAAACGAGAGTGTCCTTGAGCATGGTTGTGACAATGGCTGCCTCGCCGAAGTGGCAATGATATGGTGGTGGTGTGGTTGGTTCCTGGTCTTTTGGCCTATGTTCTTTAGAGAAGAAGATGATAATGAGGGGAAGAGAGAGAGGTGAGGGATGAAGGAGAGAAGTGAGGTGGCAACCAATGAGAGGCTGAGAGCATTTGGAAGGGAACACGGGAGTGAGGAAAAATAGTGGGTTGTGGGTCCCACTTTGTTGACACTCCAATCCCATAAAAGACAAAACAAAAAGAAAATCTCCCATAAGCGTGAAATTATCAAATTGCCCTTCACGTTCGTAGTTTCGTAAAATTTTCGTTGTAACTCTGAATTTGATTTCGTTTGTGCCCACGTGTTTGTAGTGACGATCACTACGAGGATACACTAAAAGAATGTTTCAAACATCTCACAATACGCTGGTCAATGAAAGTCAACATTCTCGCCTTTAGGGGCATTTTCATCAATTCACGTATTTAAAATTAATATAATCGTAAAGTTAGGGACGGATTGTTACAGTGATGACTTTTAACACAAGCGATCATTATGATTATCGTAAAGTTTTATCCTCTTAATATTTATTAGCATTTTTGAAAACAGACTGAACTTGGACTTAGTTTCTGTCGGGTTTTTAGCTGTTTCCATGCATTGTTTTTTATGTTTGCTTTGTTAACTGTGGACTTAAGCTGGATTTTACATTTTGTTCCATGGGCAGATATACTTCAAAACGAAAAAGACTATAGGAATTAGTTGAATATCAGAGTGCGGAACAAACAAGATTACAAAATAATAGGAATTTTATTGAACAAATTGAGAATGCCGAGACGGCTACAAAAACCCTAGAGACTACATTGTGAATGAATTTTTTTCTCTAACTAAATTACAAGCTCTATTTATAGAGCAATAAACCAAAGAAACCCTAATGCGTATATGCTAAAAATACCCTACTACAAAATCAAATCAAATCTCTAATTAATTTCCTAAATAAACCTAATAAATTCCAACAGAATTTCTTTCAACAGCACTTGCACTTTAACTCATGTGGATGAGAAGCTTTGTTATCAAATTCTACACGGATACAAAATTCAGAATGCTGAGGTACTTAGGATTAGTCAAGATTGTCCTTCATCAAAGCTAATGGTGATTCTTTTATTGGGCATACACAACTGATGGTACATGATTTTCTTCAAGTCGCTGTACAATCTTTCATTTGGGTGATACTTTCTTTTCTGTGCTCATCCCATGGAAAAGAATACTCATGAATAATAAATTTAATGCAGTGCAGTTTCGTGAGGATGCGACAGTGGATGATCTTATTGATGTAATTGAGGGAAACCGGAAATACATGAAGTGTGTATATGTGTACAACAAGATAGACGTTATTGGTATTGATGATGTGGACAAATTAGCCCGTCAGCCGAATTCTGTTGTCATTAGTTGCAATCTCAAGGCAAGTTCTACACTTCCTGTTTTTATTCAAATGAGATACGGAGTACATCTGTGTTACCAGTAAGAAACCTTGAGAAATCTCTAAAAGGTCGTACCCAGTGCACAAGGCTCCCGCTTTACGCAGGATCTGGGAGAGGTGAACTGCAGTTGCAAAATTGAAAAGCTTTTGGTCAGAGCACCGAAGACATTGCCTACTGTGGTTCTTTCCATTAGAATTGTGTTTTTGTTGGACCCTAATTTTCAACACATGTAAAAATTACATTACAATTTATTTAGAGGCCGTATGATAATCATTCCGTTTTCAGTTCAGAAAACTGAAATCTTGTTTGGTAAGTTTTCAATTAAAAAAAAAACAAAAAAAGCTGAAAACCAAAAACTAAAAATGAAATGGTTTTCAAACGGCCCTTAATAAATAGCAATGAATAGTATCACGTATGAAACGGTTCAGGAAAATTAACTTTGTGTTTTTATCTTGCTCAAAAGCTGAACTTTGACAGACTACTTGCAAAAATGTGGGAAGAGATGGGACTCGTTACAGTTTATGCAAAGCCGCAGGGCCAGCAACCTGATTTCGGTGATCCAGTAGTTCTTTCTGCTGTAAGTTGCAAATATTTTTGTTGTGTGTGTCTTTATAGGATCAATTAGCTCTCCATCATATGAGCTTTCTGGCTTGCTTTGTTTTCTCTTATTCCTCTTTGCATGTGTGTGTAGGATAGAGGGGGCTGCACTGTTGGAGACTTCTGTAATCATATACACAGGAGTTTGGTGAAGGAAGTCAAATACGTGTTAGTGTGGGGTACAAGTGCAAGGCACTACCCACAGCATTGTGGCCTCGGTCATGTTTTGAATGTTGAAGATGTGGTCCAAATTGTGAAGAAAAAGGTAAACCGGTCTGTCTGTTGTTCATTGCAAGTGAAATTTTCTCTGCGTAATTTTTGGGTCCCATGATTATTCTGATTCCAGATGCTTGTTGGGTCTTACTACACCATGATCTCTGTTTCTGGAGATGGTGCTTAATACACTTCGAAAACGCTCTTCGGCTTTATCTTGCTCGCGTGCCGAGCATAGATTCCGAGCCTATCTACCTAAATCGGATGAACACATTTGTAGAAAGAGAAGAGTATTTTTTCGATGAGAAAGTTTATAGTCTATTATTCACGTAATGAGAGCGATAGGGTATAACCCAGTTAGATAGTAGAACCTCTCCAGCTACATCCAGGAGATTTTACCATTCCTCCTTGATTCATCATCGTTCTCACTCTCTCAGCATCATCCCATTTATTTGTTTCTGCGTAAGTACTTGCCAAAAGCACGTAATTTCCTTCATCGTGCGGTTCTATTTCGAAGAGCTGCCTGGCTGCAATCTCGCTCAACTCAGCATTGCCATGAACCTTGCAAGCTCCTAACAAGGACCCCCAAATCTTTGCATTGGCGACACCAACATTGTCTATTATAAGATTGTATGCCTTTTCAAGCATTTAGCCCTTCCAAGAAGATCAACCATGCAAGCATAGTGCTCCTTTAGTGGCTCAGTGCCGAAAACCTGAGCCATGAGCTCAAAGTACTGGCACCCTCTCTCAATCAGTCCGGCATGGCTACATGCATTGAGGAGACCGACGAATGTTACCTGGTTCGGTCTAACTCCTTCCTTTTGCATCTTCGAGAAAAGATCCAACGCATCCTTGGCCTTTCCATGGTCAGCGAGGGCAGTGATTAACGCGCTATAGGATATGACATCCCTCATGCTCATTCTGTTGAACTCTCTCCATGCCTGGTCTATGTTTCCACATTTGGAATGTATATGGATCAATGCATTGGATACAAAGATTGTCCTCTCTGAAAGTGTTTGGTAAATGAGGACGCATCAGCACTACAGAATGTAAGCAATGCAAAAGATAGCAAGTCGTAGGCCACGTTCGGTGTTTAGATTGAATTGGATAACTCACTCGATTCAATGAATGTTGAGTGAAGACTTCCGAATTTCGTCTAAATTGAAGGTTGAACATGTCTTAGCAACGAAGGAAACTTATTGCTTCCCCATCCTATCATTTTTTTTGGAGATTAAAATGAATACATTGACACCCATTTCTTCATTCAACATACATTGAATCTTGGAAATTGACACTTCTTCATTCAACATACATTAAATCTAATGAGTTAGCCAATCCAATTGAATCCTTGACACCAAACGATTGAAAGAATTGATTAAATTAGAACTTACCACAAAACCCTTCCTCCACATGCCTTGCCAATGTGGCTGCGATTTCAACTTCCCCAAGTTGTGTACAAGCTGAAATAGCTCGCACCATTGCCACCTCACTGACTCTCACTTTTGCTTTCCTCATTTTCTTATACATCCCAATGGCTTCTGCTGCATAACCATTCTGAGCATAACAAGCCACCATTGCTGCCCAACATGACGCATCTGGCATCTGTATCTCGTCAAACCATCTCGGCCTCCACTACATTACCACGTTTCCCATATCCCGCTATCATAGCCACCCACGCCACTGAATTTTTATCCACCATTCGTTCGTACAATTCCTTTGCCCTTTCCATATCACCATTGTTCGCGTACCCAGCAACCATGGTAGCCCAAGAAACCGCTTTGCGCTGCCCCATGTTATCAACAACCACCGCGCTTCGCCCATCAGTCCCATCTTCGAAAACCCAAAAATCATGGCCGTCCAAGCAACCAAATCCTTATCTTCCATCGAATCAAAAACATCCCTCGCGTCCCTTACAAGCCCACATTTTGCATACATATGAAGAAGCGCAGTTTCCACTATCCCGTTTCCAAGAAACCATACTGCAGAAGCCTCGCGTGGACTTGTTTCCCTTCGAAAACCGCCTGGACACGACCACAGGCATTGAGAATGGAAGAGAAGGTGAACCCAGATGGCGATACGCCAACCCGGTGCATTTGAGCATATAGAGCGATGGATTGACGAAAGCGATCGTGAAGCACATTGGAGTGGATGAGGGAGGTCCAGAGGAACTGAATTCTGCAGTTGGGTATTTCGTCGAACAGGTTGTGGGCATACCGGAGGTTGTCACCAGGGAGTTGCAGGAGCCGCTGGAGCAACTGAGCCAAGAGATGGTAACGGCGGTTGGGTTCAGTTGGGGCTTTGAGTAAGAGAATGTGGCTTTATTTTAGCTGCTTTACGGTATTGCTTACATAAAGGAATGAATTTCGAGGGGGAATGAATTTCGAAGTCATGCTGCTGATTTTGAACATGTTGGTTGGCATTCGGATTGTTTCATCTTGGCCCAAATCCTTTCTCCATTTGATAGTTTCTTAGTTATTTTACCTTATACTCTCATATAGGCTAAATACCTCTCCTACGTACAATATCCTTTTGAACTATTGAATATAACTTCTTAAGCACTGTGTCACTGCTGAATTGGAGAATCGAAATATGCTGCCAAAGGACTACGCAATCAGTATACAATATATACACTACCAGCTGTATCGCTCTTTTTTACATTTTTAATCTTTTTTTATTTTAAATATCTCTTCACGATATATAATTATGCAAAACATCTAAATATATCTGTTTTTATTATATATTTAATAACTATTTAATATTAAATTATTAATGTAACTGCATATTACTCGTTCGTTGACTCAGAGTGGTGGTATGCCATAGACATTAAATGCACACGAGTTTGAAGGAGATAACATGTCTCGCGCGCAAAGCTTGCTTTCACTATCGTGTACTGTCCCTTAAATTGTAATGGATTTTTCTGGTTCGGTTCAGATAGTTCTTTGGAGTTGAGTGTGATTGCTGGGTTTTAGTTATGTATAACTATAGACGTATCACCCACATTAATGTTGGGACTTTCTTTCATACGTTCTAACTTATGACATGTTTCTGGAAGTGTACTAAGGTCGGAGTCGACTATACCATTATATTTAAGTGAGGAATATGTGCGACTCTCATTCGTTTTGATGGTTAACCTAATTTAACGATAGCACCCAAACTTACTATTTATCGGCAATACAAAAATTTCTTTGCGTCCTATTTAATAGACAATTCCATTCTGCTGTCTTCAGGCTCAGATTTATGTATAACGGTCTTCTCTCTTTGTGTCTCTTTACCATTGTACTGAAACTTGTAGTATTCATTGCCTAGAGATAGTTTTCGCGATTTTTCTGCATGATACGTTAACATTAGTTGATGAGATATAATCTCATGTCGTATCGCTGCTCAAACTGATCATATCTGTCTCGTTTTGCATTATGCTTGAGCATTTCTGCTCAAGCTCAAATGGTCGAGAGTAGATAACTAGTTGACCAGACCGAATTTAGAGTGTGAGTAATCTCTCTCCTGTATAGTAGATCTTGCGGGTCCATTAATGGACAGATCATGATTAGTGTGTGTTCTTGTTCCGGGCTCTGTGGATTTTTCTATTGCTCTCCGGCCACATAGGCCACCAGATGTAATACTTATGAGTATGTTGTCTTTCCTGCCTACTCAGTTTGTGCTGTTCTTTGTCGAAGTAAGTCACTCAGAAGGTGTCTTTTCTTCATGGGCGGCTTTGTGTTGATTTTTTTTGTGTGAAAGAATGATGCACCTAAGGCCGGATTTGCCACGCTCTTATACGTGTGCCAATAAAGTTTGTTGAATTTGAAGCAAAGGAGGTCGTATTGTATATCCAGTCGTCGGGAAGCCAAATCCTACGTGCATTCGGGTTGTTAGATAAAATCTCGACATAAGGCCAGAGGTGTGGCGGGCAGTATTGATAACTTACGTTTCTTTGTGCCGAAATTCCGTAGTTCCCTCTATTCCTTTCATCAATTGCTCTGCTCTTTTGGGAAGGACGGAATTTGTGCCGTGACTAGAAGGTTGTATTTTTTCTTCTTAATTCTCATGTTGGTTTACTACTCGGTCTTGATTGGCTCTGACAATCAATAGGATTGTAATTTGAACGGATATATCCTATTTCGTTGTGCTCGTGATATTAGATGGACGGGGCTGAATCTAATGTAGGGTTGAGAAAGTATAGAATTCTAGGCTTAGGAGGCGAAGTGTATTGAAGCGTACAGAGTAAGATGTGCAAGAAAGATGAGACTAAATTTTATTTTGACAGTTTGGTAGGAGATTTGGAACTAATGTGTCAAAATGTTGATTTGAGGAAGCGGCTTGACGGGAGATAATGATTCTTAGTGTGGTTGAGAGATCTAGTTACGCTTTAGTCTGGAATATGGTGAGGCGAGAACCGCCATGTACTGTTCACTAAGTATAGTGATTTCGATATGTGCCTTACAAGAAACTTAAGTGGGTTTGGTCTTATACGCAGTACATGAGGGATCGATCACCACCCTCCCCGGGTCTCCTCACCACTAATTAGCTAATGAGTATATTGTGTGCGCGTGTATAACAGATAATGTGTAGAAGCGGAGTGGAAAAAACAGGGTGTAGTCTTAGCTGTTGCTTATACGGATCTTTTGCGTAATGTGGACTCGCAAACGACTCCCTTTCTGACGAGCGGAAGATGTATTGTAAGATGGTCTAATGGAACATGATGAAAGTATGTGTGGTAGGAGAGTAGAATCATGGGCAAGTAAATTCAAGATTCTTATGAAGCTTTGGTGAATAAAGAATGTCTTTGAACGCAACTATAATCGCAATTGTTGTTGCCTTTCATTTAGGTGCGTTAGCTGGCTCAACCATTAGGTTCGTGATGTAAAGTCAGCTGGTAATTGTGGAGTATGACCGAATATGTCTCCGAAGGGGAGAAATTTGGGGGTGGGTGAGATACTCGGCTTGTATGGAAAGTATCTCTAATTGGGCACAATGAGAAAAGGATTGCTATACAGGATAAAGTCAATTGAGATTATGTCTTGACAGTGAGATAAATAGGAGGAGGATTTACTATATAGTGGAATACACTTCGATTATTGCTGTTTCTTTCCTGGGTTTGCCTGTGCGACGTTCTAGGGAGACACGGCAAATCGA